ACTATGACTAGTACCACTACCGTTGGAAGAAGTCAAACAAAAACTACTATAATGATGAAAGAGAGTTCTTAAAACAAGCTCCACTTTATCTATCATACTTTTAGAGACATCGGGCCCTAACTTTCTGAGGCAATATGACAAATATTTCATCTTAATGCGTGGATCCAACACAATGACAACATACAATAATATATTGGTCTTCTCACTGTTTCCCCAATACTTGTCAAATTTAGCTTGCATGCTCTTAGCCATATTACAAAGAATTGGGTTCCAAGTCTTCATAGAATTCTTTTGTATGCAATTTTGAACTGTGCTAATATGATGATACATCAAATTAGAGGTACTATACAAAGATCCTGAAATTTCTAAAGTGATTTCATAAAAGACTTTCAAGAATCGGACCAACATTCTAGCATTCACCCAATCTTCTTTACTAGGCCGTAAATTAGTCGTATAAGCAGGCTCTTCATCCTCTAATCTCTCAAAGGCCTTTTGAAGGTTAGTAGCAGCATCAAGCATCACATAGGTAGAGTTCCATCTAGTTACGACATCAAGACATACAGAATTCTTACATGGAATTTTTTCAATTTCAACACATTTCCTAAATGTCATAGACCGTCTAGGAGAAGACCTCACAAATCGTACAACATTACGAATATGATCAATGCAGTCATAATGGTCCTTCAAAGCATCACATACAATGAGATTCAATATGTGTGCACAATATCTAACATGCAAAAATTGACCATTCATCAACAATCCATGACTAAATCTTTTGATAAGATAAGCGACATCAGTATCATTAGAACTAGCATTGTCAATAGTTAATGTCATAATTTTTCAATACCCCACTCCTTCAAAATTTTTTCAACCGCCTTACCAATGGTATCCCCTCTATGATTCTCAATTTGAAAAAAATTAAGGATCCTTTTATGTAATCTCCAACCAGAGTCAATAAAATGTGCGGTCAATACCATTTAATTTATGTTCTGTCCAGAAGTCCAACAGTCAGTAGTGAGAGAAATTTTGTATTTCTTTTTCATGAAGATGTCTTTTAATTTTTTCTTCTCACTGACATATATCTTAAGAATGTCCCTACCTATGGTAAATCGGGATGGAATAACAAACCTAGGTTCAAGCAAACCTATTGATTGGTTGATAAACTTCCGAAACCCCGACCCTCCACAAACTTAAAAGGTAATTCATCTAAGATAATCATTTCAGCTAATGCCCTTCGACAACTCTCCAAATCAAAAGACTCGCA